CCGAGCTCGCTCCGCTGGCGGCGGTGGCGTGTGGCTGCACGGGGAGGTGCGCAGGTCTTGGCTGCAGATCTGGGGCTCAGGGCCCGGGGTGCCCCTGCCTCGAGACCAGGTGAGCTGAGACTCCAGCCTGGCAGCAGCAGGGTGATTGCTGCCCTTCCAGGCCAGGTGGCCTCTTGGGCCACGCCCCGAGCTGCAGAGCCTCTCCTGTTCCGGGTCCTCCAGGCCTGGCCCAGTTCCCGGGAAGCCTCCTCTCATTTCACCTTTTTCTTTGATCCTAGACCACTGAGCTGTTACCAGCCTCTCTTGCCTCCTGGGCTGCCTTCTCCTCACCCTCAGGGCTTCCTAGCTGGCTTCTCCGAAGGCAGACAGGACCTCCATGCTTCCCTGTAACCTCCTGCCCCAGTCCAGCCCTATAGCAGGCCCTCTCTATGGGTGTCCAGGATCTCCAGGAGGAGACAGAGTCAGGATGGGACTGAAGCTGGCCAGAAACTAACTGGGCAGCCTGTCATTCCCCTCTGTCTGGCCCTAGGAAGTTCCCGCTGCCGGCGTGGTGCTCTTCTTAGCCGCCTGTCATGGCCTGGGGACTGCCCACTGCTGCCAGCCTGGCACGTTTCTGCCAGAGGCTGAACCGGCTGAAGCCACTAGAGGAGTCCAGCATGGAGACATCGCTGCGGCGCTGCCTGTCCACGCTGGACCTGACCCTGCTGGGTGTGGGTGGTATGGTGGGCTCAGGCCTCTATGTGCTCACAGGCACTGTGGCCAAGGACATGGCTGGGCCTGCTGTGCTCTTGTCCTTCGGTGTGGCTGCTGTGGCTTCCCTGTTGGCAGCCCTGTGCTATGCAGAGTTTGGAGCACGAGTGCCCCGCACAGGTTCCGCATACCTATTCACCTATGTGTCCATGGGCGAGGTGTGGGCCTTCCTCATAGGCTGGAATGTGCTCCTGGAATACCTCATTGGGGGTGCCGCGGTGGCCCGTGCCTGGAGTGGCTATCTGGATGCCATCTTTAGCCACAGAGTTCGAAACCTCACTGAGTCTCAAGTGGGTGTCTGGCAGGTGCCCTTCCTGGCCCAATACCCAGATTTCTTGGCCGCTGGCATCCTGCTCGTGGCTTCCGCCTTCGTCTCCTGTGGAGCCCGGGTCTCCTCCTGGCTCAACCATACCTTCTCGGCTATCAGCCTGGTTGTCATCCTCTTCATCATCATCCTGGGCTTCATCCTGGCCCGCCCCCGCAACTGGAGTGCCGAGGAGGGTGGCTTTGCACCCTTCGGCTTCTCTGGCATCATGGCGGGCACTGCCACCTGCTTCTATGCCTTTGTGGGCTTTGATGTCATTGCCGCCTCCAGCGAGGAGGCCCAGAACCCCCGGCGGGCTGTGCCCATGGCCATCGCCCTCTCCCTTGGTCTGGCAGCCAGTGCCTATATCCTTGTCTCTGCTGTGCTAACCCTCATGGTGCCCTGGCACAGCCTGGACCCGGACTCAGCACTCGCTGACGCTTTCTACCGGCGGGGCTACAGCTGGGCTGGCTTCATCGTGGCAGCTGGCTCCATCTGTGGTAAGAGGCCCTCCAGGTAGGGTGGGAGAGAAGAGTGCACTGTGTCCCTTCCCTGAGCCTCTCCGAGAGCACACCTCCATCCAGGCCTCAGTTTTACGCGTTACGTAACTGGCCCAGGAAAGTGCTCATTTTTAAGACGCCTCACCTAGGCTTGTCAGGGAGCACCCCCGACGGTTGTACATAGAACATGTACAACACAGAATGTTCTAGGCATGAACTCAGGTCCCTTCCCAGACAGTGGGACTCAGCTTCATCAGATTCCCCAGTGGGCCTGGGACCTAAACCGGAAGGCCCCGTTCCTGGGTGTCGAGTGACAATCCACACCCCACACTCAGACTGAGACCCCTGACAAACTCGTGCCCATGTCTCCCAGGGGCCATTCATGCCCCGGCGCCCCCAGCAGCCCCTGACAGGCTTACCTACCGTGCTCACAGCTCCCTACCCTCTGCTGCAGCCATGAACACCGTCCTACTCAGCAACCTCTTCTCCCTGCCGCGCATCGTCTATGCCATGGCCGCCGATGGGCTCTTCTTCCAGGTGTTTGCCCGTGTGCACCCCCGAACACAGGTGCCTGTGGTGGGCATTCTGGTGTTCGGGGTCCTGATGGCTCTCCTGGCTCTGCTGTTGGACCTAGAGGCACTGGTCCAGTTTCTGTCCATCGGCACCCTGCTGGCCTATACCTTTGTGGCTGCCAGCATCATTGTGCTGCGCTTCCAGAAGTCATCTCCACCCAGCTCCCCAGGCCCAGGCAGCCCTGACCTCACGGCCAAGAAGTACGACTCCTTCTCAGACCACATACAGCTAGTGAGTGCCGTGCAGGCCTCGATCCCTGAGCCTGGACAGCTGCGCCCATCCCTGAGGCCCTACCTGGGCTTCCTGGGAGAGCTCAGCCCTGGAACTGCTGTGGCTTGGGCACTTGGCATCCTGGTGGCCTCGGCTATCCTGCTGGGCTGCGTGCTGGTCTTTGGAGACTCGCCCCTGTACCTTCCGCAGTGGGGCTACACCCTGCTGCTCCTACTCAGTGGTGTGGTGTTTCTGCTCAGCCTCCTGGTCCTGGGGGCTCACCAGCAACAGCACCCGCGGGACACTTTCCAGGTACCTTCCCAGCCAAGCCTGTTCACTCTCAGCTCAGCCAGCTCCCTTCGTCCCTTCCTCTTCTTCCATCCCATAACAAATAAGCGTCCACGGGAGAGACCTGTCTATCCATTCTCACCCCCATTTGTCTTTCTTCATGGCGAGGGAGCTGTCTTCAACAGCTCCAGAGACAAGTAGAGGCTGTGTGGAATTTTTGTAAAGACGGGCCCTGGGCTGGCAGCTTCTTCCTGCAGCCTGGCTCAGCCTTGTCCTTGCGCCCTCAGATCCCCCTGGTGCCCCTGACGCCAGCTCTGAGCATCCTTCTCAATATCTGCCTCATGCTGAAGCTGAGCTACCTGACCTGGCTGCGCTTTGCCATCTGGCTGCTGATTGGTGAGTAGGGGGGACCAGGCTGGGAGCCCGAGTGTGTGCAAGGGGGCACAAGAGGGCAGGTGAGGCTGGGACCCGTCCCTCAGGCTCATTACCACCCCTGCAGGACTTGTCGTGTATTTTGGCTATGGCATCAGGCACAGCAAGGAGAACCAGCGGGAGTCACCGGGGCTGACAGCCACACGATATGTGGTGTTCCCCAGCAGCAGCCTGGAAGAGACAGTGCAGCCCGTGCAACCCGCAAGCCAGGCACCAGCCCAAGGGGCAGACAGCATGGAGTAGTTGGCGAGCCTGTGAGCCACCATGTGCTGTCCCTGCCTTCCCCTACCTCCCTGAGAGGCCTGAAGAGCTGGGAGCTGTTTCTATCCAGGGCAGCTTGGGTTTACAGCCTGCCCAGGCTAGGAGGTTCTTAGGATGTTAAGTCTCTATCCCAGGTACTGAGCTTCCGGTCTTCAGGAAATGGACCTCAGCGGGCACCAATACCGTGGACTCTGCTCAGCACTTTCCTATTTATGACCAACTCCAGCTTGTGGGCAGGGTGGGCAGTGAAGAGGTTCTAGCCCCACGGATCCGTAATAATAACTGCTCGGTCAACCATATGGGCAACCACCATGTCCACCGTGGCATTCTTTGTGTCCCCCAGGAACAGAGTGATTGTCCCCAGTCTGCAGCAAAGTTGCTGGATTTCTGCACAGGTAGCTCTGGACCCACCCACATGGACAGTCCTGGGCCCAGGTCCTTCCCTCAGGACAGTGCCTTCTGACTAGCTCAGAGGGGAGCTGCATGCACCTGATGAAGAGGGAGGGGTCCGTGGTGGGAGTCAAGGCAGCTCCCCA